TAGTTCCTCTGCCCCTTCGGAATCCAGCTTGTACTTCTGGGAGTTCTCGGTCCACATACTGCTGAAACCTACCTTGTAGGATTTTGAACATATCCTTGCTAGCGTGTGAAATGAATGCAATTGTACGGTAGTTGGAGCATTCTTTGGCATGGTCCTTCTTTGGGATTGGGATGTAGACTGATCTTTTCCAATCCTCTGGCCACTGTTGTGTTTTCCAAACTTGCTGACATATTGAGTGTAGCACCTTAACAGCATCATCTTTTAAGATTTTACATAGTTCCACTGGAATGACATCACCTCCACTGTCCTTATTGTTAGACATGCTATCTAAGGCGCACTTGACTTCACTCTCCAGGATGTCTGGCTCTAGATCAGCAACCACACTATCTGGGTTGTCCGGGATATCCAGATCTTTCTGGTATAATTCCTCTGTGTATTCTTGCCACCTGTTCTTGATGTCTTCTGCTTCTGTGAGGTCCCTACCATTTTTGTCTTTTATCATGTCCATCTTTGCACAAAATGTTCTTTCAGCATCTCCAATTTTCCTAAACAGATCTGTTTTTTCCTTTTCTATTATTTTCCTCTGTATCTTTCCACTGTTCATTTAAGAAGGCCCTCTTGTCTCTTCTTGCTATTCTTTGGAAGTCTGCATTCAATTTTCTGTATCTTTCCCTATCTTCTTTTGCATTTTGTTTCCCTCCTTTTCTCTGCTCTTTGTAAGGCCTCACTGGACAGCCACTTTGCTTTCTTGCATTTCCTTTTCTTTGGGATGGTTTTGTTGCTACCTCCTGTACAATGTTATGAGTCTCCATCCATTGTTCTTCAGGCACTCTATGGCTATAGCTAATAGAATTCTCGCTGGGAGCTGTTGCAAATTCTGAATTCTGGTGACCATAGTGAAATAAAATCAGAAAGTTCCAGGGCTAGACTTTGGTCAAGAGTTGCCAGTAAAGCTTCTGTACTTTAGAGGCCGCAACATAATTTTTTCTCTCCTCTTCCAATGCTGACCTTTAACTTTGTTTTAAGTGACTTCAGCTTGCTGGGCTGTTTCAGTGCTACTGGTCCCAACGTTGTTGCTGCCAGCACCATCACATTATTAACTCTTCTAAGTGTTCACTCCCGGAAATTATCTTTAATTCTTCTGAAACCTGTTTCCTCACTGGAAATGTGCTTGTATTTCCTCCAGTCAGATCCCAAAACCATTAACCAGTCAGATTAACCTGCATTCTATCACACCACCTAGATGTTCAGCACCTCCATGGAATATTGATACACCCACCAGTCAATCTGGATTTCTTCTCTCAGTATCTGAGATCTGTCTGCCCAAAAATATTCCCAGGGCAGTTATTTAAAATTTAATAGCTAAGCAGAATTTACAGGTAAGTAATGAACCTCTTCTACAAGCCATGTCTAGAGTAAAATATAATTTTTAACCCTGTCTGGCTAATGTTTTCATAAAGTAATCATGAAAGACAAATGTAAGCATTTTAAACATTTCATTTCCCTACGTAGCTTTGCCCAACCTATATGTAATATCATTCTTTTGGACATACTTTGGATATTGAGATCTAATTTCTGTTTGACAGGTATCAAGAAAGATTTTAACCAGTGGGACCCTCTTCTGGATGGCAAAGGACTTAATGTTATCCCAGGAACTAACGTTGACTTGACTCCAGTGGCATCTCAATCAAAATAGCAGGGATACAAAAAATGTGCCAGTTAAAAATGGTTGTTGTGGGTTTTTCAGGCTCTTTGGCAGTGTTGTGAAGGTTGTTCTTCCTAACGTTTCGCCATTCTCTGTGGCCGGCATCTTCAGAGGACAACACTCTGTGCTCTGGTGTAGTTTGCTTGGAAGTGGAGTATTTATGGCTGTGAGAGTTAAAAATCTTAATTCACAACATACAACTTGCTGAAGTCTGAAAGTTTAGATTGAGACACATCTAGGCAGTTGTATCTCCTTATTCTATGTGATTTGTAACTTCTAAGTTTTTAAAGCATTACTGTATACAGCAAGTCATATCAGTAAAATACACACGTTGTATTCTAGAATGGTTAACTTCCAGAATGCTGGGCCACATCTGTCCCCACAGGGCCAGAAACCTGCACATACATCTATTCTTATGTGAAGTTTAATTTTTATTTATTCATTTGGCTTCATGTGTCCATAATTTGTTTTCATTTTATTTAGGCCCAAGGGGAGCGCTTTTCAGAACTGGATCTGGATATTTATCAGTTTGTAAAAAGATTCCTACAAGCCATTTTGGTTTGCAAATACAGTAGTGTGAAGTGGGCAATCATAATTTTTTTAAGTGTGTGTCCCAGGGATTCCTGAGTAATTTTGCTAAGTAAGTTAAAGATATCAGGGCTCACTCAGGTTCCAGTACAACTGGACTGTTAAATGAACCTCAACAACTGTTAAACCCACCGTGCTGGACCTTTTGCAGTTCTATTATATTTCACATAACATTGCCTCCCCAATTATGTGCATAAATGTCTATTGAAGAGAAATTCCTTGCATCTGAAAAAGTTGGCTACTGTGCCAAATAAAAGTTGCTAGCTTTTATGATGCCACAATATTCTTTATTATTTTTCCTGGAAACAGATGACAAACACAGTTACCACTCTGCAGATACATGAAGGGAAAAGGCCATCTCTGCTAAAAGCAAGGCATTTTTGAAAGTTTAAATATCTCCAAATTATCAGAGTTTAGATCCCCATTTACTGTAAAGGAAGTTTAGAATATTATTCTAGGCTTAAAAGGTAAAGTACTTGAAATTGATCAGTTAATTAATAAATTTAAAATAAATTTAAAGCAATTATATTTCCCTCCAACAATACATTTTGTGGTTATTTTGAATTGCTAGAAATCTGTTAACAATCTAAAATTGTCATGCTTGTTTGCAAAAATAATGTCCTATAAATAGTGTTGCTTGCTTGTGACTACTGAGTACAGTGGTGGCTCGCAAGACGATTGCCTTGCGGGGCGAAAAACGTGCAAGACGATTGGTTTTCGCGATCCCTATGGTGCAAGACAGTTTTTTCTATGACCATGCTTCACAAGACTTTTTTTTTCAAGACCAATGCTTCGCAAGACTAATAAATTTCATTTGTCTTGTGAGCTTCCCCTAAGGAACCTCACAAGACGATTTTTTCACAAGATGATTTTCGTGGAACGAATTAAAATTGTCTTGCAAGGCACCACTGTACACTTGTTAGGAAGCTGATGACCAGCATAAAATTTTAATCTACTTAAAATGGACAAGAAATGTAGTGCTGGTAGGTCACCTACATCATCCCCCTGCCAGCACAGGAACCCATAGCTAGAACATCCCTGTTCGATGACGACCCAACCCCTGCTTAAAAATCTCCATGAAGATGAATGCAGTACCTTCTGAGGTAATCTGTTCCACTGTTGAATGAAAGGCTCTTGCCAACGTAAAGCTCTTCCTAACATTTTCTTGGTATCTCCTTTATTGTAATTTGAACCCAATGTTTCAAGTCCTATTTTCTGAAAAAGCAGAAAACAAACTTATCATCTTCCAGCCCTTCAAATATCTGAAGATAGCTATTAGACATGGAAGCTTCATAATCATATCCCTGGGGATACAAATACAAAGTGCAGCATCACAGGTGCCATGGTGGTCTGTTGTCTCCCCCCGGAACCATCCTGGTCAACTCAGCAGACTTCACGTAGCATGCGGGGCCATCACAGGTAACAGAAGTAGGTAACTTCTGTGCCAATTGCAGAAGTAGCCCAGCTGGTGCTTCCCTGCCTCCCTGTACTGCCAACCACTTTAGCAAGGACGTGGGATGACGAGTCTCCCTGCTCAACTGCTGACAGATCAGCAGTGCAGGGAGGCGGGGAAGCACCAGCTCGGCTACTTTCATGATAGGCATGTTACCGACAATGGCCAAATGCATCACAGAAAGCCCAGTGAGTGGACTGGGAGACGAGTATGAATATCACATTTCTAGTAGCTTTCACATCACCTCCTAGCCTTCTTTTCTGCAGGCTAGTCATACTCAATTCCTTCAACCATTCCTCACAAGACATGGTTTCGAAGAACTCCACCCTACTGGTGAATCTGCTCTAAATCAGTTACAGCTTGTTGAAAATAGTTCTTGAACTCTGGTGCCTACAACTGGATACTGTGTTCAAAGTGAAGCGGAACAGAGAATATATACCACTGAGATCCTTGATCAGGGTACTCCTGGTACTATATAAACTACGTAAACTGTAACTGTAATTTTATGATTTTATATATTTTTATACTGTTCTGTTTTATTTTGTAAGCCGCCCCGAGTAGACATGGTCTAGAGGGGTGGGGTAAAAATCAAATCAAATCAATCAATAAATAAGTAAACTGATTTTCACAGCAGTCTTATCTTTAATATAAATGTATTCTTTTTCACAAAACTGTCTTTTACTTTTTTCTTGAAAGCAGAACTCATTTCTTGAATTTTATTAGTGCCCAGGAGGGCACCAATGTATTGTACAGGAGCACTATTACAGCATTCCTTAAGTCAAATATAAAAAAGGAGTGCTCCAAACAAAAAACTATAACTATAAAACTGGACCTTGGATCAGCACCAAATCTGGCATGGATGTAGCAAAAAGTCTGCTCTTGCTGTGTCAATCTGGGGACATTTCAACAAAGGATGTTCAAGTTGTGATTTTTTAAAAAGTAATACTGTTTTACCCCTGTGCAGAAAATAGCAAACATATCAAATACATTGGTAACAGAAAATTAACATCTGGAAAGAAACATATCCCTGGAGTGTGTTTTTTAAATTTTAATATAAATAAATCAATTTAAAGGTCTAATAAACCTTTAGGAATAAAGTGATTTTCAAACCAGAAAAACCCCACTCCCGAGGTAACTGTCATACTACTCTAACAGGAGGTTTTTCCTGATATTTAACCAAAATCTGGCTTCCTTTAACTTGAGCCCCTTGTTGCGTGTCCTGCACTTTGGGATGATCGAGAACATATCTTGCCCCTCCTCTGTATGACAACCTTTCAAATATTTGAAAAGTGCTATCATATCAACCCTCAGTCTTCTTTTCTCAAGGCTAAATATGCCGAGTTCTTTCAGCCTTTCGCCATAAGGCTTGGTTTCCAGCCCTCTGATCATCCTTCTTGCCCTCCTCTGAACTTGTTCCAATTTGTTAGCATCCTTCTTGAAGTGTGGTGTCCTACTCAAGGTGAGGCCTAACCAGTGCCGAATACAAGGGAACTTAGCACCTTGCTGGATTTGGAAACTATACTTCTATTAATGCAGCCTATAACAGCATTAGCCTTTTTTGTAGCCACATCACACTGTTGGCTCATATTTAATATGAGTAATACTTGGAAGAATTTTTTTCTTCACCTACTTCTATACAGGCAAAAGGCAAAGATATGACTAACCACATTCAGGTATGAAAGACCACAGAAAATTACAAAACAACTGCTTCTGAATTAAGAAAACATTTACAGCAGTGCTATAAAACAGTATTAAGAGATTTGGTACAGCTCCTTCGTATGTATAATCACAACATATACAACCTATTTATCAATACTGAGATCACAAACTTTCAGTTGAATGGTGAAATAAAAACAGCAAGAACGAATGTCATCTGCAATACAAGCTTTATTTTAGTTTCATTAAACAAAAAGGTAATAAACTTTCCATGTTGTCACAGTATTCTCTCTAAAGGTTATATTTTAATAAACTACATGAAAATACAGAAAAAGACATATTTCTTTTGCACAACCTCTGAGCCTGAAGCAACCACAGGCCCTCAACACAATGAACACTCCTGCACGTCTTCAGCTTCGCAGAGCTTTACCAAGGAGTACACTGACAGAAGTGAACATCACAGAACACGGTTAAAAGGACTAATTAACAGGACAACTGTCCCTGGTCAGGGTACAAACATGTTCATTAAACTCTTGCCATTGATTCCAAAATTGCATAAAGCCTGTCATGTCAGTAAAATGATTCCTTCACTCAGGTGTATTTTCAGTGAAGTTGCCACAAGGAGGAGAATCTGAACCAGTAGCAATTTCTTGCTCTGTCAAAGAAACAAGGCAATTAATAATTATATTTAAGCAGTTATATGAAAAACCAAATATCTGTGTGCATTAGAACCAATTAAACATACATTTCTGAACTTATGAATGGAATCTGTGCCACTGGTGAGGACTGTAATATAAAGTCTTGCTGATAATCTTTCTCCACTCTCTCAGATTATAAAACAGACTCTTTTAAAAAAAGGTTGAAAAGGCGCACACTGCATGAGGACACATAGTAAATGTAGAGTCTAGTGAGAAATCCAGAGTGTTGAAAAGAACACACTGAACTCGCCTCTGTTGCTAAAGATTACAAGAGGAAAATAAGTGATAATCTGTTATTTCTCGTAAAGGCACTATCCTACTATTGCCAATAAGTTTCAAGGAGCCAGAAGGTGGAGGTATAAAAGAGCCCAGAAGACTTTTCTATTTATATGAGACATGGAGAACAACAGCCAATGAAAGGCTCCCATCTAGCCCTCAATTTCTACCCCATAGCCCCATCCTTGACTCCTTAAAATGCTGGTTATTTCCTTAAAAAAAGAGGTTACTTACCTGTAACTCTGGTTCTTCGAGTGGTCATCTGTGAATTCACACCAATGGGTTAAATCTGCGCATGCACAGAGATCTCCGGAATATTCTAGAGCTTTAAGCTCTGTTTGTCAAGGACTGCCCCCCTAAACCCACGAGGTCCGGCCGCCCTCCAAATCACCTCAGTTCCTAAGAACAGCCCGCAGCTGCATCAATAGATGCAGGAGTGACGGACAGAGGGGAGGACGGGCGGGAAGTGTGAATTCACAGATGACCACTCGAAGAATCAGAGTTACAGGTAAGTAATCTCTCTTTCTTCTTTGTGGTCTCTGTGAATGCATACTAATGGGTGGCTGACTAACCAGCTTACAGCACCTTAAAGGTGGAGGGACCTCACGAAAGGATCAAAGAAAGCGCAGCTCTCCCAAAGGATGCATCAGTTTTGGCTCTCAGGTCCAGTCTGTAGTGAACAGCAAATGTAAAAGTTGTGGACCATGTGGTAGCTTTACAAATGTCTGGGAGAGAAACTCCATGAAGGAATGCTGCAGAAGTAGCTGTTGCTCTGGCAGAATGATCCCTAACACCCACAGGTAGAGGATGCTTGGCAAGTTGATATGCCTGTTTTATGGTTGAGACAATCCATTGAGAAATTGTTTGTGAAGAAACACGACAGCCCCTATCAGGGGGATGTGGTGACACAAATAGTCTTTTCAATTTGCGGAAGGAGGAAGTCCTTGATATGCAAAAGTCTAAGGCCCTTCTAACATCCAGCATGTGTAGTGATCGCTCTACATCAGTAGTCAGTGATGGAAAGAACATGGGTAAGATAATAGGTTGGGAGAGGTGGAAATGTGATACAACCTTAGGTAAAAAAGAAACATGCAGAAACAGGGTGACTTTATCAGGATGAAATTGAAGAAATGGGGGATCGATTTTCAAGGCTGCAAGTTCAGAAGCTCTGCGGGCCGAGGTAATGGCAACCAGGAAGAGCATTTTAAGAGACAGAAGGTATTCTGAAGTGGTGGCAAGTGGTTTGAAGGGAGGGCGGGAAAGCCAGTGCAGAACAAGAGATAGAGACCACTGTGGAGGCGGTGGTGGAGCCGAAGGTTGCATATTGGAAACACCTCTTAGAAATTGTTTCAACATGGGATGGCAAAAAATCATTGCAGCTTCCGAATCCTGTGGCTGATAGGCTATAATTGCTGACAAATAAACCTTGAGAATTGAAAGAGATAACTGTTTATTAGTTGGATTAGTAGGTAGATTATGTTGGAGAGCAAATTTAGTGAAGGCAGACCATTTGTAGAAATATAACTTGGTTGTGGAGGGTTTACGTGCATGTGCGAGGAGCGCATTCACTGAGGGAGGATTCTTAATGCTGTAAGATGAAGAGTATGTAGATCTGGGTGTTGGTTTCAACCCTGATGCTGCGAGAGTAAGTATGGAATTAAAGGGAGGTGAAGATAATTGCTGCTGATGGAGTATAGCATGGTGAACCATGGTTGTTTTGGCCACCATGGAGCGATAAGAATTGCGTTGGCATGGTCTTGTCTGATTTTGGATATTGTCTGAAGAAGCAACAGAATGGGAGGAAAGAGATATATGAGGTGTGTAGTCCAATCCCTTGGGATCTGCATCCTATGCCCGCTCTGGAACAGAATAGGTTGCACGTGGCATTCTGAGGTGCTGCGAACATGTCAATCTGTGGGTGACCCCATAGTTTGCATAGATGAAGAAACACTGATTAGTCCAGAGACCATTCATGCATTTGAGTCTGTAGTCGACTGAGTCTGTCTGCCACTAGATTTTCTTGTGTGGTGATGTGTACTGCCATGGGGAAAGTGTGGCGTTCTAGACACCATTCCCAAAACTGTACTGTGAGATAAAAAAATGGAAGGGAATGTGTGCCCCCTTGCCTGTTTATGTAAAACCACAAAGTTGTGTTGTCTGTCGTAACTTGGTCAATGTTACCACGTATCAGTGGCTTGAATGCTCTGAATGCCTTGAAGATGGCCAAAAGTTCTAGGTTGTTTATGTGGAGAGCACTTTCCTTGCGGGACAAGATGTCATGAATATGGAGATTGTTGCAGTGCGCACCCCATCCAGTGTTGCTTGTGTCTGTCGTAATTTGTATTGTTAGTTGAAGGGGAGAGAAAGGTCGACCCATGAATAGGTTGGATGGTTTGTCCCACCAAAGAAGTTGGGAGGAAAGTTCGGGAGTTACTCTGAGGAGTTTTGATGGAGAATCTATCATTGGGTCATAAAGGGTGAGATACCAAGACTGAAGTGAGCATATTTTCAGCCTGGCATCGAGAATAGTTGAGGTTGTAGAAGCCATGAGACCTAATAGGTGTTGAATGGAATGTGCGGTGATGCAGGAATGTGGGCGGAACTGATTGATGAGAGAATGAAGTTTGATGGCTTTTTCCCGAGGAAGAAAAAATCTTGCTTTGGTGGAGTCTAGAAGAGCGCCTATATATGTGATATGTTGAGTAGGAGTGAGGATTGATTTTTGTTTGACTTTTAGACCCAGATCCGCAAGAAGAGAGTTGTCTGAACATCCTTCAGAGCCTACAGGTGAGAAGGAGAAACTACGAGCCATTTGTCTATGTATGGGAAGATCGAAATTCCCAGGGTACGTAGATGGGCTGCTATGGGTGCCATTCATTTTGTAAATACCCTTGGTGCTGTAGAGGGGCCAAAGGGGAGGGCCTTGAATTTGTAGGCATGTTCTCCTACAGCGAACCTGAGAAACTTGCAATGATCTTGACGGATTGTGATATGGAAGTATGCATCACTTATCTATTACTGCAAACCAATTACCGTGTTGAAGGATTGGTAGAATTAATTCTAGTTTTACCATGCAGAATCGTCTTGGAATTATGTCATAACTGAGTTCTCGAAGGTTGAGGATAAACCTTAGTCCTCCATCTTGTTTTGGGACGGTGTAGTAACGGGAGAAAAAACCTGAATGGTGTTCTGCAATAGTGATGGGAGATTTTGAGTCTTTTGAGAGGAGAGATTGAACTTGTTGGTGGATAGCAGATGGTGATATTAGAACGAATCTTGGAGGTGGCAGGTAAGCAAATTTGATTGCGTAGCCTGTAGCGATTATGGTAAGTACCCAAGTGTCTGTTGTAATAGAAGTCCAGGATGGAAGATGGACTGAAAGACAAGTGGTGGCTGTGGAAAGGAGGTAAGTTTCGCGGATCTGAGAAATAGGAAAGTCAAAGCCCCTGCTTCTTTTTCTCCTCGGGATGGCGGAAAGATTGTTTTGGCTGTCGGCACTGAACTGCATGTCTAGGCTGGTAAGAAATGGCTGATTGAGATGAATATTTATTCCCGTCATTGTATGATTGCAGCGGAACCCCGTCAGGCCTGTCCATCATTGGAAGCTCAAGAGGAGGAGCCAATGAGAAGACAGGAGGGGCGGAACCAAAAGGACAATGGAAGACAGACAGTTAGAGAGACAGTTGGGGATGTGGAATGGCAGTTAGGGTTTAGGAGAAGAAGAGAGTTTGGGGATTGAACTGAGTTAGGAGAGTGAATTGGGAAGGTTAATATATATTGAGCAAGCAGGAATGCAATTATAAGTACTATAAAATATTGATTAAAAGTATATAGTAGTTCGGAATAAAAGTACTTGCAACCCAATACATAATTAAATCCTTGTTAATACCTGATACAGTTCATATGTGATTTACCTTTGTGATTTACTTGACAATAAAATAATATTTGTTAATTAAACCTCTGATTCCTAAGTTCAATAAACCTTAGCTTTGGCAGCCCACATGTATAACATACATAATTGGTATTAGGAGGGTAATACCTGGTGGCAGGTAGAAGAGAAAAGGGCCTGAGCCTTTTTGAGAGCCAAATAAACAGGGGCAACAAGGATGAGCGCCACAATAATTTTGATTGCTGATACTGATAAGGACAACGCCACTGAGGACGTTGTGGTTTGTAATATTGTTGGGTGTTGTATGACTGTGCTGTTTTCTTTAACTTTTGCAGATTCTCAAGGATATCATTAGTCGTCGAAAAGACTGGAACCACTGAAGGGTAAGTCTTCAATTCTTTCTGACATCATCTGGGATATGTGCAGACCTCAACCATGCGTACCTGTGGAGGGCTACTGCAGTGACCATCTGCCAAGAAGAGGCATCAATGATGTGCCTAGCTGTTATTCTCTCTTGGCATGCCAGAGCCAGAGCCTCCTGATGAAAGGCAAATCCACGGGCCTTATATTCACCTGTGGCAGATTGGAGAGATGGGAGAACCTTATTCCACAAATAATGGTGGTATGCTCCCATTGCTGCAATGTAGTTGGCAGCTCAGAGATTAAATGATGCAAGGGAGTAGATCCTGTGTCCTACAATATTGAGTTTCCGGCCTTCTTTGTTGTTACGTGTCGTAGAAGAGTGGTTAGGTGTTCTGTTTTGAGTAGCATCAACAATGAGTGAGTTGGGTGGCAGATGCTTAAAAAGGAAGGCAGTACTGTCTCCATGGGTTTTGTAAAGGTTTTCCACTTTACGAGACATTTGAGGTATAGAAGAAGGCTTTGTCCAGGTTTGTTTGGCAAGTTCAAGCAAAGAAGGGATGAAACTCATACTCAGAGGAAGAGATTGTTGGTCGTTAATATCCTCATAGACTTTATCCGACTGGATTTGGGAAGGCTGTTGCACATCCAGCTCCATTGCTTTGGCAATACGCAAAACTAATTGTGAATATGAAGAAAAATCATCGGATGTTGATGGTGGATTGTTAACATTAATATCAGATTCAGGTGTTGGTAAATTGGGCAGAGAGTCTTGATCCAGAACAGAATGAGAACAATGTGAAGAGGAAGAATGCGAAGAAGGGGTGGGAGAAGCTGGGCAGTATTGTGAAGGAGTTGATTCTGAAATGGTATGGTGAAGTTTTGATGAAATATGTTGAGAGAGTACCAAAGTGATCTGTTGTTTGATTGCTTGGTACCAGGAGGTAAGGGCTGAGGACTGATGTATGTAGTGGTTGATTGTATCGATTGCTGATGAGACGTTGGGATGATACGGATGTGCGGGACCTTTTTGATACCGTAGGTTGAGATCAAGAGGGGTCAGCATGTTGTCTCTTATGTGATTTATGTTTCGGTACCGGCGAGGGTGGTACCGATTCCACCTCCAATGAAGATTGGGACTGGTAGGTGTCACAATACTGGTGTCAATACCGAGGAGAAAAGGGTGAGTCAGAGGTGTCAGACTCGTAACAATAACTGCGTCAACGTCAGTGATCCCAGTACAGTGGGGTCTCAACTTACAGAATTAATCCGTATTGGAAGGCGGTCCGTAAGTAGAAAAGTCCGCAGGTCAAATCTGCATTTCCCATAGGAATGCACTGAAAACCATTTAATCCGTATCTGCTGTTTTCTGTCCATAGAAACTATTGGGAAGCTGCTATTCCGCATTCTACCACTAGAGGGGGGATTTTTTTCTTTTTTTTCTTAAGTCAAGAAAAGTTCAGGAAAGGAGGGGGGAGGCAGGGAACAGTTTTAAAAGCACTTTTGAAATCATTTTTTCAATGAAGCCAATTTTAAAGCATGTTTAACACAGAGACAGGAGTCTGGAATTCACCTTAGCCCAGTCTTTGCAAGCCAGCATTCTTTGACCCACAGAATTTTTTTAGCAAAAAGACAGGCAGGACTCCGGAATTCACACCTTAGCCCAGTCTTTGCAAGCCAGCATTCTTAACCCACAGAATTCTTCAGCAAAAAGACAGGCAGGACTCTGGAATTCACACCTTAGCCCAGTCTTTGCAAGCCAGCATTCTGACCCACAGAATTCTTCAGCAAAAAGACAGGCAGGACTCTGGAATTCACACCTTAGCCCAGTCTTTGCAAGCCAGCATTCTGACCCACAGAATTCTTCAGCAAAAAGACAGGCAGGACTCTGGAATTCACACCTTAGCCCAGTCTTTGCAAGCCAGCATTCTGACCCACAGAATTCTTCAGCAAAAAGACAGGCAGGACTCTGGAATTCACACCTTAGCCCAGTCTTTGCAAGCCAGCATTCTGACCCACAGAATTCTTCAGCAAAAAGACAGGCAGGACTCTGGAATTCACACCTTAGCCCAGTCTTTGCAAGCCAGCATTCTGACCCACAGAATTCTTCAGCAAAAAGACAGGCAGGACTCTGGAATTCACACCTTAGCCCAGTCTTTGCAAGCCAGCATTCTGACCCACAGAATTCTTCAGCAAAAAGACAGGCAGGACTCTGGAATTCACACCTTAGCCCAGTCTTTGCAAGCCAGCATTCTGACCCACAGAATTCTTCAGCAAAAAGACAGGCAGGACTCTGGAATTCACACCAAGTGAAACTTTGCGGCAGGAGAAGTCCGTAGGTCGAAAAGTTCGTAAGTGGAGCCGAACGTTAAGTCGAGACTCCACTGTAATAATCCAGCTTGGATGGATGATACCAATGTGCTCAATATCAAGAGCATCTATAGGCGGGGTCATAGTACTCTGGTGGTTCATAGAGTGACCCTCTTGGAGTGCCTATACCTTCTGGACGGCTCTCAAGACATAAAGGACCCAGTCAGAGTAGTGGGTCTCTCGGCTTCGAAGGCACTATCGGCGGCGGCAGGGACCTCCAGGAGGCCTCCAATGGCGGCGGGGAAGGCCTCCGGACGTCCCCAGCAGTGGCGGTGGACGTCCAGATGCCTTCCAAGGCTTCTCTGGAAGGCATCCGGAGGTCCCCTCCCCTGCTGGTGCTGCTGCTGGGAGCCGAGCCATGCGATCCCAGCCATGCTCGGACTCCTGGACAGGAGACCTCCGAATGCCTTTCAGGGCTTCTCCGCCGCCATGGGAGGCATCTCGGAGGTCCCCCCCACCGAAGCACTATCGCTGGTGGGCGGGGAGACCTCCAAGATGCCTCCCATGGCAGTGGAGAAGCCCTGGAAGGCATCCGGAGGCACGACCTATGGTCTACGGACTGGAAGGGGGAGGCGGGGAAAGCGCCCAATTTGAACTGGGTGCTTTTCCCGCCTCCCTCTTCTGGTCTGTAGGTCAATTCTCCGGCCGCCAGTCGAAGTGAAACTTTGCGGCAGGAGAAGTCCGTAGGTCGAAAAGTTCGTAAGTGGAGCCGAACGTTAAGTCGAGACTCCACTGTAATAATCGAGCTTGGATGGATGATACCAATGTGCTCAATATCAAGAGCATCTATAGGCGGGGTCATAGTACTCTGGTGGTTCATAGAGTGACCCTCTTGGAGTGCCTATACCTTCTGGACGGCTCTCAAGACATAAAGGACCCAGTCAGAGTAGTGGGTCTCTCGGCATCAGCACCATGATGAGTTTGCTGAGTCGTGTGGTGCTCTTTTCTTGACCTCTTATGTGGAGGAGAAACTTCAGGTGCCGGACACACTGAGTCCGAGTCACTCGATGAGATGGAGTGGCCAGTAGAAATAGGACTCAAGTGGAGGTTCGTTGGTATCATGGTTACATCCATGTCAACCGGTGAAGCCAGGGACTGAGCTAAAAGCAGAGACTAAGGTCGGGCGCAAGAAAGCATCAGAGGGTCTTCCAAAGAGTCAACTCGTATCATGGGTTGATCTTGTAGCGGCTGGTCTGGTACCAGTTTGGAGGAACAGGTTTTGGTAGACTTTTTTTTTCTTTGATTTTGAGTGGTCTGAAATCAAAGGGACTCTGTACTGAAGTAGATTTAGTAGAGCTTGATGGTCTGGATTTGGACTTAGATTTTTGTGAGCTCTTGGAAGTAGCAGTTGGAGAAGCAATAAGTGGTGCTGGAGATTGATTCAGAGGCTGTGTTTTAATAGGTGTATCCATGGTTTGGGATGGCTGAAGTGATTTTGCCAGAGAAAGGACCTCAGGCGTTGTTGTCTTAATTTGAGTGCCTGCTTAGTAATTTTTTTACAAATTTGGCAGGAAGAAGTTTGATGCAATTCCCCTAAGCAGAACAAGCAGATATTGTGGCCGTCTGTTAGCAGGATCTTATTCTAGCACTTTTTGAAGGGGGGAAGGGATGCCATAAATGGCGGGAAGGGGAACGGAAGCAAAAAAGGAAAAAAAATGGGGGGTGTCAACAACAACAAAAAAAGTCTCTCACGATTCTTAGGATAAAGAAGGATTTGATTCTTGTGTAAATTAGATAAAACGATTGATATATTCGAACAGCGGTATTTTATTTTCTAGGAAACACTATGGACTAATGGCAGTTCGACAATGGAAAACTCAGTGGCGGCAAAATAGGTGATGTGGAGGGCGGGCGGACCTCGTGGGCTAGGGGGGACGTCCTTGATGAAAGGAGCTTAAAGCTCTAAAATATTCCGGAGAGCTCTGTGCAGGTGCAGATTTAACCCATTAGTGTGCATTCAGAGACCACGAAGAACATGTGCTTCAGCAATCAAACTTGAAAATTAAGCATGCATTTTCATTCCAATGACCAATCACAAAGCAAAGCATGCCTCAATGCATGATACAGAAGTGAGGAAAGAAATGTGCTAGGAAAAAAACAGATGTCTTTCACCATGTAAGGACGGTTAAATGAGCTAAGCATATAGTTTGATCTTCAGCTAAAATTTAACATGTCCTGTTGAACTTAGAGATGTAGGGCCACAGTTCGACACCACTGTTGTAGATAATACTTGGAACATGCCATAAATACCAATTGTCTCTTGACATCTTACCTTCAGCTTCCAAGCCACATTCCAGCAATGAATCCAAGGTACTTGTTTCATTGTTTAATGTCTAAAGGGAGAAAAATGTTCTCAACAGAAGCAGTCGAGAACAATGTTGGTTGCTTAATAATACGTTAAATATTGAAACAAGATTCATTGCTGAGTATATATCAAAACACACTGTTTGTTTATTATTTAGTATATACAGAATGCTTCTCATCTTACTTCTTCCTGCCAAGAATAAAAGACAGGTAGCAACTACCACATCAGAAGATGATTGCACCCAAAAATAAAAATATTCCTGCCCAATTTCAAATGAAGACTAATGCAATTCCCAAATCTAGGCATGTTTGCTGAGAAACAATTACAAAGTAGTGCAGCAGACTTCTACTATTTTGTGGAAGACATAACAAAGGTTTATTCTTCTGAGTGCTGAACATGTCTAGTCTTAATGCCATGTTTTAGAATTGCAACTTTTATTTATATTCTAAAAATAACTATACTTTCCGGCATATTCATGGCTTATATTGTAAAAAAAATCTTTAAAATGCCACAACAGTTTAAGCCATGCCTTCCCTGAGTTTAATACATTCTAGTAAGTTAGTTGCATTACTTTACAGCAGCAGAAATGAACTAGTCTTGTGCTTTAAGGACTAACAAGTTTCATTTTGTGGACTACAACTACTTTCTAAGAGACGTTTGAAGAAGTGGGCTTTATACCAAATAAAACATATTAGTCTACAGTGGTGCCTCGCAAGTGAAAACTTCGTTAAACCGAAAATAAAAAGCCATTCCAAATCGGCTGAAAACTCACTGTTTAGCGAAGTCTTCCCATAGCTAGCAGCCATTTTCGCGCCCTCCCCTCGCTTACCGAGGGCGCGAAAACGCTGTGCGCGGCCATTTTGGCTGTTCCGGCGGCTATTTTGGACCCGCCGAACAGCTGATCCGCGGGTCGCAAAGCGAAGGTCAGTAAGTTTCGCCCATTGGGGGCATCGGTAAGCGATCGCATTAGCGATCGCGGAAACCGCATCGCTATGCGATTTCGTCGTTATACGGTGTGCTCGTTAAGCGAGGCACCACTGTACTTCAATAGGAACAGATGTAGAGACTAACAATTTCTGGCTTCAATTTTTTTAAAATGTGTTATGTTAAGTGCTAGGTTTAAAGATTTTGAGAGGCATTCTTTGATTCACTTGATTACAAAAGAGAGGCACACAATAGAGCAGAATGAAACCATTACAGAAGGAATGCCTGCTTAATACAACTTTGTTTTATTGCTTTAGACAGAACTGTATCTCAGTTAAAGTTGACTCTAGTTCAGGAATCCCATTCCAGACATCTGTAGGATTGAACAACTCTTCACTTCCACTTGTAAAGTTCAAAACCTTCAGGTAAAATCATGTTTAACAATGTATTAATTATACCCATTAGGCTGTCACAGATTCAACATGTTGCAACAATGTAACATGTCATAATCAAATCATAAGTGATGGACTCACCTAACAGATTAAAACTTCCTTACCTTTGTGCCTTCAGCAGATGTGCCTGATATCTGAGCCTTATGCCACTGACCGCCTGACGATACCATGCATTTGGAACCAATATTAAACCCCCTTAAATTGAAAGTCATTCTTTTTTTGTCTGCAAAAACAAACAAAACATTATTTTTCAGTGCTTGTCATACTGCAAGGTGCAAGCTATTTAACAGAAATAATTGGCAAACTGACTTCAAAGTGGCCATCCACAAAGAGCTATGCCCAATTTCCTCTCCGCTCCCCAATCCTGCATCCCTTACACTGGTTGACTGAATAGCTCACTAAGCTGGGTGCCTGGCTACAAGTCAGAGTTGGGAGTTTGATTTCCTACTGTGCTTCCTGGGAGGACAGGCAGCCTATGTAACCTTGGGCAATCCCCAAAAGTGAACTATTTCTGAGTACCCTATACTTAGAAAAACCTGGCAAAGAATAGACTTGATGGTCTGTTATAATTATTAAACTTATTAGTGTGTAAATATATACACAGGCAAGTCACTTCCCATGCTTTCTCTTGTGTATCATAGTCACAAGATTACTCTGTCCTACCATAATACCTGGACACTTTATGAGCCAGAAATTAGTCATAAATTGTAGCTGTCAGAATTTGGCACCTGCTAAATTTCAGATTTTTTGAAAATAGTAATTTGCAATTCTTTAAACATGCAAGTACATGTCTCCTATGATCCATGTTTGCTACAGCGTGTTTGCTATACCAAAACATACTCTTTGGTCAAAACTTGACAATCTAAAAGCCTATTTTCCCTTAGGTAAATGGGGAATTTTTATTGTTTTTATACAGTTGAATTACCAGTGCCACCACTTTTCCACCTGGTCCAGAAGAGAAACAATAAATAGCATTGCTGGATGTCCCTGCTCACAGAGCTACAGATTCTAAGTGACCTGACCATGTTCCTGAACTTTTGAATGTTACTCCAAGGTATTTATGAGTTGGTCTGTTTGAGGAGTTTCCTATACAGCTGCCATCTGTAATTCTTTCCCCTTTTTCCAAAAACCAAAATTTTGATCATTTATTTGGAGATGTTCCTTGACACAATAAGCATCTAAGGCCCTTAATAGTCTTTGCATCCCCACCTAGGCATAGGACAGGAGAATAGCATCATCTGCATACAAAACTACTAATGTATTCCTGTCATTTAGATGGGGTGGGAAAAGCTGGGGGCTGGATAGGGAGGATAACATATTGTTTAGATAAAATTTTATTCTGTATCCCTGGATTTAGCAGGGCTCAAAGCACTCACTTTACTTAAGGGCAAGTTGTAAGTACATATTTATTGGGGGAGGGAGTCTCCCATTGGGAGCCTATTTCCAGAAAAAAATTGCTACTAGAGATGGGGGCATTTGTATTTGAATACGCATATTCCCACACAGCTGGATTTAATGAGTGTCTGGCCCCTGGGGCCGGACTATCCACTCATGCGTCTGGAAGCAGTCTTGCTCATCCTTCCAATCGCTCCCAGATGCCACTCTCTTCCCACTTGTCTAGTCACTCCAAGCAGACGAGAGGGGAGAGCAGCACTCTGGGAGTGACTGGAAAGATGAATGGGGCTGCCGCCGGATGCATAAACAGAACAGCTATGCAGGGATATTCGTATCTGTATACCCGCATCTCTAATAGCTGCCACCAGACTAATCAGGTCAAACCCAACAGAAACTAATGGGGAGAGGGAAAAACAGGAAGATACAGGGGTATGTTGTGCATTATGTACATTCCAGAATACAGTGGTGCCTTGCTTGACGACGTTAATTCGTTCCAGCAAAATCGCTGTAGAGCGAAATCATCATCAAATGAAATAAAACCCACTGAAATGCATTAAAAACCGGTTAATGCATTCCAATGGGCGAAATACCTAATCGTCCAGCGAAGATCCTCCATAGGCCATTTTCCAGTGCCTGTAGAGCGAAAAATCAGTCCTAAAAACAGCGGGGGGGCATTTTGCACAGCGGCGGCCATTTTGAAACCCGCTGATCAGCTGTTGGAAAATCGTCATAAAGCGAAAAATCGGTTCCTGAAGCAGGGAACCAATTGTCGCTAAGCGAAAAAAAAACCCCATTCAAACATCATTTTGCGATCGCAAAAACATTGTGAAGCAGATTCTTCGTTAAACAGGGTAATCATTAAGCGGGGCACCACTGTAGTTGTTAGCTAGTTGTCCAGCATAGTTAACTAATCTCAGCTAAAGTCTCCACCTTATCTATTACACTTCTTGAACCCCTGCAACAATTAAAGTAACAGTTAATTTTACAGGATGAACTTAAAAGATTTCCAAAATAGAGTGGTCATCTGACCAGATAGGCGAGATATAAATACAATCAATCAATACCTTTACTTCCCTCAGCTGATAATGGTTCTTTTCATGTGTTACAACTGAAAATATGGCAAGGTCAAAAGGTGAGAATAACAGGGAAGCCCAGTTAAGACCCACTCCTTCATCCACTCTACACCTGAAAGTCAGTGATGAATGAGGTGTGAAGCAAACATTGGAAATGCTCTTACAAAGTTCAAATGATGACGGTCTCTGTCCTTATCTGGGCTCCTGATGATCTGAGCACTGCAAGCATGTTCAGTCAAATCTTTGTGTTCATCACACAAAGGACTCAGTGATTTTCATGCAGAGAGGAACCAAGAGGTGGGGCATTACATACATTGTCACATCTCATGGCACAGTGGTTAAACCGCTGTACTGCAGCCAAAACTGTGCTCACGACCTGGGGTTCAATCCCAGGTAGCCGGCTCAAGGTTGACTCAGCCTTCTATCCTTCCGATGTCAATAAAATGAGTACCCAGCTTGCTGGAGGGGGGGGGCAATGTGTAACCTGCATAATTAACTTGTAAACCACCCAGAGAGTGCTTGAAGCACTATGGGGCGGTATATAAGCAGCACGTTTTGCTTTTATAGTCCTGTAGAGTTTCATTCATAACACTTGAACAGTGCTTATACCTTACCTGTATCATGACTTGACATTTCTTGTTCTTCATTCAGCTGAGTATTACTTGAATAATCTTCTCCAAGAAAACTCATGTCTTCATGTGTTTCACACATGTCACAGCTCATCTGCGTTTCTCTGCTTCTCTTCTCCAACAGACTCTGCCATTCTACACAATCAGTTTTTGAGACATTTTGTACTGCTTCGTGTACTTCTATAAGACCTTCAGTGCACAAGTCTTGTGATTCAGTTTCTGAAAATGGTGGTTGACCTTCAGTGTTTGCAAGAGGAAATGCAGCAGACAGATCCAACATGTCCACCTCACTTTTATCAGCTTGCAATGGATGCACTTCATGTGTCACAAACTCCGAAGGGCTCTCTTGTAACTCTTTCTGCGCATATAATCCTTCAAGCAACATAAATTCTGATCTCTTTGGCACTTCATCATAGAAAAAAGGTTTTTCAGTTGTCTCCAACTCCAAAGTGTCTTTAGAAGAGTGCACTCTTAACATCTCTGTTTCCTGCATAATCTGCTTGGTATCAACTGACAGCGGTAGCCCCAGATCTGACATACTCTTTGTGTCATCCAAAAGTAACTGTGCTTCAAACACATCCTGTGTTAAAATTTCTGCCTGGCTTTCAGGTTTAACCTGAATTTCAAAGTGATCTTGTTTTGACACCTCTTTTCTGCTACTAGCAGGATGCTGTATTTCAGCACCATCAATTGAACATGATCTATTGCATTTCTTTTCAGATATATAATGGTCCATTTCACCATCAAATGATTCAAATACAGAATGTTGGTCCTCTGTATCAACAGCTTCAACTGCAGCTTGGTGTCTTGTTTGGTAAGTAGGTGATGTTGGAGGCAATGCTTCCTTTGTTCTTTTCCCTGCATCAAGTGAACAACTCTCTATTGGATGTAATGGTTTTGAATAAGGTAATGAATCTGAAATATCAGTATATTCTGCAGACATAGGCAAACATGTTTCAGTTTTAAATACCACAGTCTCAGAGCATTTCCCCTGTCCATTATTGTTCTCCTCTTCAAGGCGGCAAATACTTGCTACAGTTGAACCACTGTTTTCAGTGCTACATTTCCAAAAGGATTTCATTTGCTCCTTGATGTTTATTTTTTGATATTCCAATTCAACAATAAATATGGGAATTGCAAAAGAACCATGGTCTTTTTTATCCATGATTTTAACATCTACTGGACAACCAGCTACTATATCACAGAATACCTTATTTACTCCTTCAGTCCAAGAACCTTCCTCAACATTAAAACCAAACAGACAACACAGAAATGCTTGAGGTGGTATTGCTAAAAGCTCATGGGGAATTTTCCTGACCATTTCTATACAAGTTAATTCCTCAGTTCCATAATCAACATGAATGACTGTCAAAATGTTTTGCTCTATGTTGCTAACAACTGCTCGGTAAAATCTACCATCTTTACTCTGCTTTGCCAGACAAGGGCAACCACTTACAATATCATCCAGAATGATTCCCTCAAGTTCTTCAACTTCCTGAAGCTTTCTTTCAATTGAATCAAGGTTATCCATGTCAATAAGCTGACACCAAAAATATCCTGGGTTCTTTGCAGCTACTGAAAAGATTTTCACAGTTTGACCTACTTTAGGTGTCTTCCAGTGAAAAGACATAGAATTTGTGTTGCTTGCAGAGTTCTCATTCTTACCCAGAGCAACTTCACACAGGTTTATCATACCAGTCTCTATCTCCTTTTTGCTCCTAGTGTCCACAACATGAGATTCTGGGTCTTCAGGGTAACTATTAATCAAATCCATTGTTACATTACCTTTCTTGTCACATAGAAGAATTTCCCATTTGCCTTCAATTTTTTCCACAAATTCACCATTCAGCTGAACTTCATTTGTCCTTTGGGAAAAATACAGAATTTTTTCCTCTGTCCATTCTGGAAGCCTTACTGTCTTACCTCCATGCAGTGCACAGTGAATGCTCATCACTGGAAATGATGAACAGTCTTCAAGAAGTTGGCCTGTTTTACAGATGTCAACTACTGCAGTATTGCCATAATCAATATACACCACACTCACCAATTCATCAGAGGGTTCTTCACTGACTACAGCTCGATACCATGAGCCATCATCTGCAAAAACTGCACAAATTAAGTCTCCAATGTGAAGCTTCTGCTCTTTTAGGCTCTCAAATGTTGAAGAACTGCTTAGTTTCTCTGAAATGATATCAAGCAGAGGTTGATCTTCTACCAACTGAACGTAAAAGTCAGAAGGATCATTTATATGAGATATATACACCAAAGTTTTAAGACCAGGTTTTATCATTTTTTGAGGCAGATCACAAATATTTTTAGGTACAAAGTTTGTATTAATTCTACTTTGGCTGCAGTTTTCATCACGAGTTTTTTCCTCTCTTTTTTGAAAAGGTCCCTTTAGAAAGTCTCTGCCTTTTTTATCTTCTAAAGATTCGCGCCTATCAATTAGCCCTGGAGATTTTCTTGCCACTTCTCTTTTTGTTTCTTGCTGCTCTACTCTTCTTCTCCACCATGAAAAACTGGGTTTACTACTGCGCATTGTTTCCTGATTTTCAATGCATGACTTCTTGCTATCATGAAACAGTTTCACAGTATCTGTCAAAGATGGTATTATTTCAGTGTTTGCTTCTCTCCCAAGTGGGCATCTAGACAGTGAAACTTCATGTTCTACATGTTTTGATAACATTCTGCTGCTCTCCAAACTGAAGTTCTGTTTCAATTTTGCATTGATCTGCATTTTTCCATCATATAGTTCTATGATCAGTGTTCCATCAGACTCCTTTGCTACTATTAAAGCTTTTAAAGGCTTATCTAGAACTGCTTTTTCAAACCATACTGTGGCATCTTTTGGTGGATCAGCAACATCAGATAAACTGCATTTTATGGCTAGCCTTGGCAACCTAAGCAGCTCATAAGCATCATTTGGCACTACAATCAGGTCTTCATCCTTTAGCAACTCTGTATTTCCAAAATCCACAAAGAAAATTTTTTTAGTAGATTTTGCTGAAGTCACTATTGCCCTATACCAGTTGCCATCACTGTACTTAGCAACATACACATTTCCAGGGGCCTGTGATGTCTGCAAGTTGTGCCACATTTTGCTGAGCTTACCAATGCTACTACTTAACTGATTAAGAGCAGCTGTACTGCTTGCAAGCTGGCAGTAAAAGAAAGAGGGATCATTAACATGTGTAACATAAATCACCTCCTCACTTCCTATTTTGAGGTTGTGTGTTGAATAATAGTACGAGAGAAGATGAACAGATGGGATCAGGGATTTCTCTGGCTGCACAGGTCTGGCTAGATTCCTCCTTGTTAAAAACTGGCAAACACTTTCAAAAGGTGTAATTAAGTCCACAATCCTGAAGACTTCTGTATTGTTTAACGCTGCTGAAGCAAATATAGTACATTTTAGTTCTATTCTGCTTGCTGAATCCACAAAATCTTGAAAAGCTTCACTGGCTTTTTCATCCCAAACAAAAGGATCCTGTCCTTTTGGCTGAATTAAATTGTAAAGGCTACATCTAAATGCCTGGGCTTTCAAATGAAGAAACTCTGCCTTAGTTGCACAGATATCCTTTAGTGAAACACACTCTTTATTTCCATAATCAACATAGGCAACTTCCACTTTTTCTGTATACCTCTCCTTACTAGTGATAAGACCTCTATACCATTTATTATCCTCTGAATACTTAGCCAAACATACAGGACTGGACCAGTCATAGGGCTGTAACGAATGAGCACAGTAATCCTGAATTTTAGCCATAAGAGCCCTCAAGTGTCCAGAGTGTTTAGCTAATTGGCACCAAAAGATGCTAGGATTTTCAGTACAGGACACCACCACATTTACTGTACTTCCAACCTCCAGATGCTCGTCAAAATAAAATTCTGGCTTTATCCAGGAATGGTTTGGCACAACAGCAGACAAAGAGTTTGGTGTAATACTAGAAACGTCTGCAACTGCATTGTATGGTCCTCTCTTCAATGACTCATTTATCATTTTCTGGAAGGGCATCTGTATTTCATGGGTAGTGTCCTTTCCTTGGGATATTATTTTTCCCAAATTTTTTTCTCCTGCCAAGGAATTATCAAAAACCTCCACTATGTAAATATCTTCTTGCATGCCTAGGACCTTGATCACTAGCTCTTTACCTAGCATGGCTTTCCTAAAATACTCTGCAGCATCTGGGCTCCATAATTGGTTTGGAGAGGAATGAGCCAACGCACATCTGAGTGCCACAGCAGGCAGTTCTCTGAACTGAGGAAGCAGTTCTTTCACGTTATGCAAATCAACTATTTTGGTGTCTCCTCTGTCCACCAGGTAAACTTCAATGCCCTTCCCCTGTACTTTGATGACGAGGGCGCGGTGATAAGTATTCTCTTTCAGCATAACACAGCACAATGATCCAGGCTTGGGTTGAAGCAGAATGCCCTCCAGTTTCTTACTTTGAGAGTAGAAGTTGTGCAAGTTCCTGTTTAGGAGACAGAGGGACTGATAATGCTCGTGGAGGTACATCCAGAATTTGGAGGGATTTTGGAAAAAACTCACTTGAGCCCTGTGGCACTCCCCTGCCTTCAGGCGCACAACAGGAAGTGGGGTAGGAGCAAGTGTAGACAACACACCCTGAAAAGATTCAGATTCTTCCTTGTCTGGAGCATCTCCACTCTCCAGTTCAGTCATCAGGTCAGAAGTGCAGCCTTGATCACTGTGCAGAAAACTCTGGGCCAGGCAATGTGACTGCACCCCATAAAGACTGTTAAGGTTGAGGCCATTTTCCCCATAGAGGGTCACATAATACAGATGCTCAAAAGGACAGTAAATTTCAATATGGGCCTGTACTTCTTTGCCCAGCAACAGTGCTTTAAGCTGACTAATTTGTGAATGAGTCCAGCCAGTGCCTCCATCTGTAATACCCTGCAAAGAGCAAGGGTATGTCACTACTGGCATGCGGAAACACTCAGTTGGTAAATGCCGCAAGTTTTTCTTCGTGACAAATTCTTTCCTTCCATAATCAACACAAATTACTTGTGCCACTGCACCTGGCTGCTCCTCTGGACCTCCTCTAGAGTACACCTCTAGCAAGAGAGCACGGTACCAGCATCCATCTATGCCACGGGCTGCACAGGGAGAACCAGGTGCAGGCAAGGACTCTTGTAAGTCCCTTCCCCTGATTGCCTCAAAACTTTGGTACATGACATCTGAGAGTAGCTGGATCTCTCTGGAAAAGCTGCGCAGCTGACAATACACTCTGTAGGGACCTGAGACATGAGTCACTGACACAGGCTCAGTCACATTCAAATCCAGTTGGGGATAGAAATAACTCAAGGGATCTCGCTGTGACTGACCAACAGAGGAGTGGACAGTTGCCTTGGCTGGAGAGGAAGAAGGCTCTGATGGAAAAGCTGCAGCAGGAGAGCCTCCCAGGCAGGTGTTGAGGAGGGTGCCGAATGCATGGGGGGAGATGTAGCTCGCTAGCCCCAGCCGCTGCATCTGTGCCAATAGCCAGGGTAGCTCCAAAACCATAAGGTGCTCTGCAATCAGCACCTCTCGCACCACACCCGTCACCTCCTTGCCCTGCAGGCATCCCAGGAACTCGAGGGCGCCAGGCCCCCAGCTGAAGCTCTGCACCCGGGATCCGAGCGGAGCAGCCGTAGCCGCGACCGCCCCGAAACTCCTGGACGGGACCAAGTCGGCCACGACGCAGCCCAGCACTTCGGAAGGCAGCTGGAAGAGCTCGCGGCTGCCCCGCGCCAGGCAGGAGGCGGCGGCGCTGGCCGTGCGGCCCTCGTCGAGGAGGAAGACGCGGTAGTCTCGGGGCGCCGGGCGACCCACCACCCGGCAGCGGTGCCACCGCCCGCCCAGCTCCACCAGGCACAGGTCGTTGAGGGCCAGGCTGTCGGCGTGGCCCCCCGGCCCGCTCGACGACAACCGAGGCCCGGCCCGCGCCTGGACCTCCTCCGTCAAGCGCAGGTATTCATCCCGCCGCTCCCCGGGGAAGCCCCACAGCTTCACCAGCGGCACCTCCGGGTGGAGTTCTATGAAGGAGACGCGCAAAGTAACCGAGCTGCCTGGGCCGGGCAACACCGAGCACATGGCGGAGGCCGCCCTCGCAG